TATGTATTCTACTAAATCTAACAACTCATCATTTTCTTGATACAGGGTGTGGTTTCCACATTTGTTCTGATTTGCAGGGCCTAAGAAGAAGTAGGGAAATGGAACATGGGAAGATGAACTTGATTATGGCAAACAGAAGATCGTCACCTATGACCAGAGTCAGAGTTTATTCTTTAGTGTTGAGTAATGGGTTAGGATTATATTTAAATAATTGTTGCTATTCTCCAGATATGGCAAGAAACATCATTTCATTTCATGGATTGTTTAGATAAGGTATCAGATACTCGTTTGATAATAGTAATGGTTCTATCAATGTTTATTTGAATGGTATATTTTATTTCAATGCATTACCTTGTAATGGGATTTATGAATCTGTGATGGTTGTTGATAATTTAGGAAATGATGTGTTGCATATTGATTTGTCTACTAGTCTAGATAAAGCATGCTTGTGGCATTGTCGCCTTAGCCATGTCAACAAGAAATGCATAGCCCAACTCCAAAAGGATGGAATGTTGGATTCATTCGACCTTAGGGACGATGACATGTGTGAATCTTGTTTACTTGGGAAGATGACCAAGTCACCCTTCACTGGCACTTGTGATAGGGGTGAGGGTCTATTGGATCTAATACACACTGATGTGTGTGGGACCTTTAGATCCACCACAAGGGATGCTTGCCACTTCTACGTGACTTTTACGGATGATTATAGCAAATATGGATATATCTACTTAATCAAGCAAAAGTCAGAAACCTTTGAAAAGTTCAAAGGGTTTAAGAATGAAGTGGAGAATCAGCTGGGTAGGAAAATCAAGATGCTTCGGTCAGACCGAGGAGGAGAGTACCTAAGTCTTGAGTATCATGATTATCTAAAAGAATGCAGAATTGTTTCACAATTGACGCCTCTGTGAACGCCACAATTGAATGGTGTGGCTGAGAGACGTAATCGGACCTTGTTGGACATGGTTGGTTCTATGATGAGTCGGGCTTCGTTACCAATAACTTTTTGGGGGGATGCCTTAGAGATTGCCGCCCATATCCTTAACTTAGTTCCCACCAAGAAGGTGTAGGGTTTTGAGCATTCTAACACTCCTATGGTGTACATGAAACCCTATAAACCTTGGATCTATTTTTTTCTCTATTATACCAAATATAGTTATGGACTTAGACATTAATCCAATAGAAGGTTGCCAAAACACCTCACGAGATGTGGACAGGGAAAGCTCCCTCGTTGGCACATATCAAGGTTTGGGGTTGCGAGGCTTTCGTAAGACGAGAGACTCACGACAAGCTCGAACCTCGTAGTGAGAAATGTTATTTCATCGGCTATCCACGCAAGTCTTTTGGTTATCTTTTCTATAGACCAAGTGACAATGTTGTCTTCGTTGCTAGAAGAGGGGTTTCCCAGAAAGGGAATTGATAAGCCAAGAGGACAGTGGGAGGCAAATTGATCTTGAAGAGATTCAAGAGCAAAGCGATGAAAGAACCTCTAACACTGGCACTCATACCGAGGAGGAAACTCCTGCTGAGTACGTTGGGCGTACACTATGAATGAAGAAGTTATGGCCTTCGGAAGATTGGCGGTTCTTGACCCTAGTCGAGTACGTTGGGCGTACACTATGAGTACGTCGGGCGTACTGGCTCGACATCCGGATCGTAGAGGCTTCAACATATAATGGGACTATGCACATACTTGTTTAATTTAGGCCTTAGGCCCACCTGATTGTAACATGTCATTTTTTGGGCTTAAGGCCATGTTGGGGGTTCTTGGGCCATATTAGGCCTTAGATGTCTTGTAGTTGGGCTTGGATGCTTTTTTGGGCTTTTTATGGATTTAGGCCTTAAGGGGAGGGAGACCCATTGAGGCCGGGTAAAGGAGCCCTTTTTGCCTTAAGTTAAGAGTTAAGGTTTTAGACTTGAGTTCGAGATCATCACTTTAGAAGAAAAAGAGCAATCATAGGAGAAGAAGAAGTCATTCGTTCATGAAGAAACCCTAAATCGGTTTTTAAAGGAGGAATATATCATTTATTGTTTTTTTTTTATTTTTTATTATGCCATGTCATAATAGTTAAGCCAAGTTATTATTTAACATGTAAGAACCAATTACCGGTGGGTAATATTTGAACAAAACATATAGTTTGTTGGTGTTTTTTGTACCAAAATTTTACTTGGATGATGTTTTTTGAACGATTTTGAAACATAGTTACCTCTTTGAGTCATTTTCCTATTGCTTTTTTTTTCTTTACTTATTTTTTATCGGTAATTGCCGGTTACCAAAGGTCAAATTTGAACAAAGAATGTACTTTGTTGGTGTTTTTTGTACAAATGCTTTACTTGGATAGTGTTTTTTAGACACACCAAACTTGAATGGTATTTTTTGAACGATTTTAAAACATAGTTACCCATATAAGTCATTTTCCCTATATTATATTGAGTGATCAATTTAAAAAAACAAATAAGCTTTACTTTCAATGGTAATAAGTTGTTAATAATAAAAGCTCGTTATAAAAAAGTTTCCATTTGAAATGCTTTAAATTGAATAGCATACAAGTCAAAACATCTTATTTTTAAGTAGATTAATTAAAAACATAAACGAAAATATCATCATCCATCTTCATGTTTGTTCCTTTTGTTATCGTTATTGTTGCCTCCGCTTCGAAAAGTAATGTCTATCACATTATTTATGTTAGTGAATTACATGATTTAAACGAATCAAATGAACTGGTTAATGATTTATATTACATAACTTAATTAAATCCAGTTACGAACTTTGTTGGGAAAATGAGATTAAAAAGAAAGATAAACTATATAATAAATTGTTACAATTGTTCAGATTAATCTTTTAAGCTTCCCTTTAAATTATTTTCGCAGTTTTGAATAACAATGTTATACATTCTAAAACATGAGAAATAAACAAAAAAAAAAAAGGTAATCAAACAAATTCAAGTATATTGATTGTGATGTTTTGAAACCAAAGTGTTGGTCTTTTTTTATAAGTTTAGAAATCGCCCAAACTTTCTTCCATATACCAATATTAGATAAAACATTATTCAATTTTTAGTAAAAAACTCAATAATCTCCGTCTTGGATAAAGAACATATTTAATACACAATCAGAATTTTAATACCGATAGAAAGAAAAAGAAAAGTTAGGATAATATGTTAATTTAGAACTTAGAAGTATTTAACAGAATAGAGTTAATAATAATAATAATCTCAAAAACCATGAATGTAGTTATTGAAAACTATATTAAAAAGTCTTGTCAAAAAAAATTAAAAGAAATAATTTGTACATAATATTTTTTTAGTTTTATATAACAATTTATACTTAAAAAAATTAAAGTGTATCACTATATTAACCAATATTGTAAAAATCGTTCGACGGTAGCTCGACGATCGACTGACGATAAGCGATTAATCAAACTCGGCGATGATTAATCGGAGACCCTAAATTATTAATAAAATTATTTACAAAATTAATACTTCCTAAAAAATTAAGTATATGAAAATTTAAAATTTTAAATATTTTAATATAATATTTTAAAATTTGAAAGCTTCAAAATTTAAAATTTTAAAATTTTGGTGTAATATTTGAAAATTTTTTAATATATTTTCCGCCTATGACCACCAAAGACCGTCAAGCCCGAGTTTAACTAATTTCCGCCAAACATACTAATCGTAATCTGTTTGAAACCGTCAAACGATTAATCGGCCGCCGAGACCGACACTGATATTAACATAAACAATTGTATTTTAACAAATTAAACTGAAACTACAAATAAATGTACAAACATAGTAAAGTACTAAACTATTATGGGTTTACTTGTCATTCCCTACATATTAAAATAATTATTATTTAATTATTAAAATTAAATAACCAAGACGGATTCTCACTTTCCAAGAAAGCGAAAAAAGAATACGAGGGTAGTTTAAAGACAAAACCTGAAAAAGCGAAGGGCTAAATTTTAAGAGGGAAGGATTTTAAGCTCTGTTTTTGAAGTGGTCCGTTCTCCTGTATTGGGGATGCACTGTAAGGATTTACGTTTGACTGCCCCAAGATCCAACAAGGATTTCATCAAAACCTATTTGGACAATTTACAAAACTTAGCCCTTATGAATACAAAATGACAGTTTTAGCTTTTAAATTAAACTCTATACATTAGTTTAAGACTTTAAGTTGCCACACAAACGATAAAAATGTGTCCCTAAACAATTATAGAACAAGGAAACTTTTATGGTGAATGACTTTTTTTAGACTTTTATTTTATTTTATACTTCAAAAGTTATAGTTTGCCAGTTGTTAGAGAAAATGAATTATGCCACTCGTTTTCAACATTTGTTATTTAATATATTTTGGAAGTCTAACACCATTTAGGTATATAAAACAATGACTAGATTTTAGATAAGAAAATAAATACTTGAGACTTTTATTATATATAATCATTTAAGATTTAATAATTTAAAGTCAGTTGCTTATTTTTAGAGTTTTTCTCCTAAAATAAGATGGCTCCATTTGTCCATAGTACAAATAGTGCAAATTTAAAGTACACTTTTATGAAATGAAATCAATAATATACTCATAATAATAATGAGTTTATCATATATTTCTTAAATATAAAATATATTTTATAAATAATGCAAGTTTAGAAAGCTAATAATTAATCAATTTTAAGAAATAAATAAAAGTAAATAAGAAACAAACTAATGATATAAAATATGTACTAACAGATAATATTAAATGTTTTGTAAAAGTGTCTTTAAAATATATAAATTTAAAAATAGATTTAGTTGGTGGATGAGTAAATAAATATAAGTTTAAAAATAAATTTAATGAATGTGTGAATATGTCTATTTCAAAAAATAAAATAAAATTTAATCTTTTAATGAAAACAAGAAAGAGAAATACCATAAAAATCTTTCTTTCATGCATTCACAACGAGTGAGGGGCTCCAAATTGATACAATTACTTTCTAAGGACTAAATCTGTGTGATTTACATTTGACAAGGAATTAAATGCGTAATTCACAAAAGCAATAAAGGCATGTGGAGAGTAGGGACCATGGCCGATGATGTGTAAAAAATGACGAGAACTAGAAGATAGTCTGAACTCCAAAAGCTCCACCACCACCACCTTCTCTCATCCTCCTCCTCTGCAACTTCTCGAACTGCGTGTTCGGAGCTCACACAACAGCAGACCGTTGCATCTCTCTCTACACGAAAACAGTCGAGTATCACCAACGTCGATCACTGTAGCTCTCCGCCATTAGATACTTTTTCAAGCTTTTTTTTTCCCACTCTGAAGTAAGCTGCTGTTTGTAGCTTCGGGAGTTCGATTGATCGTTACACGAGAACCGGTTTTTGAGTCTCAATTCAACAATTTTCTGGCGTTGTTACGAAATTTTTCGAGACTAATTTCAGCTCGTTAGCAGATTTACAGCTTGCATTCTCTTCATTTGTGAGTTCAATCTAGCTCAATTCATCTAAACCACATGTAATTGTCAAAATTTAATTCCTGAAGATTTTCACACCTAGGTACTCTGTTTATTGGACAGGTGTCGGAGTAAAGCAGAGTGTCGTTGGTGGAAGCGCGTACATATTTCTCAATCTCTTTCTCGTTATTATTAGGTACGAATTTACGATACGCCATTTTACCTGATCTTATGTTTCAACGATACTCTTGTTGAAAAATCTACGCTGAATTCAAGCTTCTTGTTACTTAATACTTGTTGATTTGAAACGAAAAAGATGTTTCAACGAGATATACAACAATTACAAGCACAAAGTACAAGTTAGGGTTCATGATGATAAAAATGGACTGTATATTCATGTCCGGGCAGCCGACACGATATATGTGGGGTCGGATTTACAATACTTTAAGCTTTTTCAAGCATTGCTCAAGAATTAGATACAAACAACCTTCTTTTCTTTGAAGGCAAGGATAATCGGATATTTTGTTTTATCCGTTATAAAACTGTTCGAAATGAAATCATTCCTGTTTCAAAACTCTAAAAGTAAGCAAAATGATGGCATCAAGCACTACTGATCAATTAAATAAGTTCGATAATTGTGTGGGGGTGGAATATTAAATATGTATTCGTTTGAAATTGGTTGAGGAGTCACTTTCCAATTAGCTAAGAGGCGACTCTCGTAGCCTGATATAAGTGGGTGAGAGTGATTTATATTTAATCTTTCTATTTTTAATACAAATCTCTCATCAACTCACTAATATATGTCCATTTCAACCAAATTTGACATTTTTGTTTTAATATGTGATATGGATATTGCCTGAGATTAATTGTCGGTCTTTGATCAATGCTCTCTGGTATATGCTTCTTTCTGCTAATCAGCTTTCAACTCCTTTTTATATCCTTCATCTGCATCCCACTTGGAAATAATAGCATATTAGCAAACATATATGCAGAAACAATGAAGTATTTTTGTAAGTATAATATATTGACTGCATTTTGTTTAGCTTCTCTTCCTCCTTAATGCTATTGATTTACTACTTTATAATATTGTAGCAATATTAGTCATAATACTCATCTTGTTAATCTGGCATGTCCATGTCTTCATTTAATTTAAGCTTCTAATTAAGGTAGGTGTCCTTGTATAAAGTCCCAAACTACAAACTTTCCCTTTTTAGCATTGTAATTGAGCTATAATATAACCCATTATTTATTTTCTTCAGTGATAAAGAGCTTCTTTTCATTATATATGTTACTATTTCACCTAACACATTGTTAATGAGAAATTTTAAGTAAAAGAGGTTGTTGGTCTAACCTTGTGTTTGGTTATTTGGTTATGGCTACTCTTTACTTTTTTTAGCATGTCCATTGTTTCTTAAATTAGTTGATCTCTTTTTTTTTCTATGTTCTACACAGTCTTTTATCAGTTTATTTGCTTTTATAATTTCTATGTTTGTTTCTGTTACTCATGATTAGTCTTGATGTCTTCAGATTCATCCAAATAGATGAAGCTCCAACTGGAAGTTGCTTTGGCTTGCTTTATCACCTTGATCTTGATTCAACACATCATATGTGGTTAATATCAACTCTAGCATTGTTATAACTTATTATTCTAAATTAACTCTTGATCATCATTTTATCTAATTATGAAATTAGCTTAAATCATTGCTTTTATTTGAACAGATGAAGTTGCAGAGACCCCGGATATAAACAAGTGGACATGTACATGCTATGCAAATGAACTAAACCATCATGTTATCATTCCACCAAACTGCTCTTCTTCCTGTAACTGCATCTCTGGTATCATTTGACTATTTAGATTAAAGTATATATATATTTAATAGTTAATAGTTAAACACATATATATACATTTACAAACAAAATGTTAAAAAACACAGAAAATACAAGTCAAAACAAATGGAAATGCATATGTCCCAGTGATAAACTCCCTGAAGTGGCTACAAGTCATGAAAGTAATTGCTTCATGTCCTGCAACTGCAATTCTGGTAAATTAAATCTTTATATTCCATTATTCCTAGAATTACTAAATACAAAAACCTTACACATATCATGTTGTTGTTCACAGGATCTTTGATTGAGGCACAATCTTTAAAGAAGCAATTTTCCAGCAAAGCTGTATTAATCATCTTATCACTATGCATGGTGATCACAGCTCTTGCAATTTTCACTTCAGTAATGTGCCTCTACATATATCGAAGGCATACATGCCCTAAAAAACAACCTCCTTTATCATCATCATCAGATAAAGACACAAGTTACAACAGTAGTACAAACTTAATCAGCTACAAAACATCTTCACTCCAAAACTCCAAAATATACATCCATTCTCCTAAAAATCCAGTCACAGGGTTTATACACAAGGCTTCATTCTTGTTTAGAAAACAAACAAGAACTGTTCAAGGAACAATCACAAGCTTTCCATATTCTGAATTAGAAACTGCAACCAATCGATTCTCTGAAACTAATTTAATCGGGGTTGGGGTAAGTAGCCATGTTTACTATGGTCAACTCAAAGATGGTAAACTTGTTGCAGTCAAACGTCTTAAGTCTCAAGGAGGAGGTCTAGATGCTGAAGTAACATTTTTAACAGAGGTAATAATTAATAATTATTTAAATATACATATTTGGTTTTATGATATTAAAAATTTATGTTCAGATTGAACTGCTGTCAAGACTACATCACTGTCATGTGGTGCCATTACTTGGGTACTGTTTGGAATACCAATACCACACAAAACAGCCTGAGATGCTTTTGGTGTTTGAATACATGACAAATGGCAACCTGAGAGAGTGTCTAGATGGGGTTTCAGAAAAATGTCTAGACTGGGGGGCCCGCATAGCAGTAGCCATTGGAGCTGCTAGAGGGTTGGAGTATCTTCATGAAGCAGCAGCACCAAGAATCCTGCATAGAGATGTTAAATCCACTAATATTCTCTTGGATGAGAACTGGAGAGCAAAGGTAATATCATATTTGTGAATATTAATAAGTTTTGATTTGAATTGTGTGATGATTTTGTTTTTGTTGGTAGATTACTGATCTGGGAATGGCTAAGAGTTTGGTGAGTGATGGTGTTCCAAGCTGTTCTAGCTCACCTGCTAGAATGCAGGGGACATTTGGCTATTTTGCCCCTGAATATGCGATTGTTGGAAGGGCATCGCTGATGTCAGATGTTTTTAGTTTTGGTGTTGTGCTTCTTGAACTTATTAGTGGTCGGCATCCAATATACAAGTCACAAGACAAAGGGGAAGAGAGCCTTGTGATTTGGGTTAGTCGTTATTGTTTTTTACTCTTTTTCTTCATCTTATATTTTTCTTTTACTAAATAAGGACGAAGATTGCAATAATAAGAATTATTGGGGACCAAATTTGCAAAAAAAAAAAAAAAGGATCAAAAATGTAATGATAATTTTCAGGCGACACCACTTTTACAAGATAGCAGGAGAGTGAGTAAGGAACTGCCGGACCCACGTCTGAAAGGGAAGTTTGAAGAAGAAGAGATGCAAGTGATGGCTTATTTAGCAAAAGAGTGTTTGTTGTTGGATCCTGATGCTCGCCCAACAATGAGTGAAGTTGTTCAGATACTTCTAACTATTGCTCCAGAAAAATCTAAAAGGAGGAATTTTTCCGTTGACCGCTATCAGGTTTGACTTTGACTTTGTCTCTGTTAAGTCGTTTTTTCTGTGTTCTGAAACAAATCTTAATTTCTTAAATAGGATTATACCATTAGAATGGAACGCGAGCTTCAACAACTGTCATCCAGTATATCATTTTCGTCTGAATCTTCATTGCTTGTGCATACCCCTCATGAAAATGAAGAACCAGTTACAGTTACAGGTCCCGGTTCACATGGTGGAGATGATGAAGTCACTGTTGATTTAACTGAACCACGCTTTGAATCCTTTTGTGTGTCCAATATTTCATCTGCTTCATAACTTGTAATCAATTTTCATAATTTATTTCAATATTTGGTTTATAACCAAATCTTGAAACCCAGAGTTTAAATCTCTCTTTCCTTTTCTCTTTTATGTGTTTCATATTTTAAAAAGGAACATTCACCATTCATTTCATTTTTCTAGTGCCGTTTTGCAGAGAATGTGTAGAGATCATGTATGATTAGTGTAGTAGTGTTTGTACACATGTATTTTATGTCACCTTATAGTTATAACATTACAATATGGTTGGTTAACATTCATAGATATATATGATATTATACTTTTCTTAGTTATCATTCTAGTAAGATATATTTGCACTACAAAAGGGAAAATGATTTGCTAGAGTAATTATCTTTTCGTCTTATTCAAGTTTAGGTAATTTCATCTTTTTTGTATACATTTGACCATTTAACTTGTTAAATGGCAACACATTTAACAAGTTAAATGGTCGAATGTGTATAAAAAAAAGTTGTTTAAATGTGAATTTTTTTTTTTTTACAAATTTCTTAAGATTTTTTTATAATTTCTTACAATATTTTTATGATATTTTTTTTCTTATAAGTTTTTCTAATACAATGTTTTAAGCTTTGCTTATAACTTTTTTTTTTTTTTTTTTTTTTTTTTTTTTTTTTACTTTCATATAATTTTAATACAAGTGCTTTTAAACCAAGTATTTTATAAATATTTTAATTTTTCTTACAAGTTTTTAAATTGTTTTTTTTTTACATTTTCAAACAATTTTTTTTATAAATTTCATACATTTATTTCTAAACTTTCTTTTACAACATTTTTAAAGTGTTTTACAGATTTTGTATGACAATTTAATACTTTTTATAACATTTTAAAATACTTTCATTAAATACTAGTTTAAAACGTTGTATTAATTTTTTTTATAAACTCCTAATTAAAAACTATTAAAAAGTTGGAATAATTTTAAAACATTTTCATTATATAGATTTTTTTTTTTGTGTTTTTGGAGTGGTTCAAATGAGAACCACAAAAGATTAAAAACGGTAAGAACCCTTTTTATAATTAAATATGTACACAATACTTATTAAACATGTTAAAATCCGGATTTCTTTTGTATTTTTGGTACGAAAATGGTAAAATTGTAATTTTTGCAGTCGAATATTTTCATTCATATATCGATTCATATTTTAACACAAAAATTATACAAAATACAAAATTTAACACAGTTCATTCATAGTTTAGTACACAAAATTCACAATAATACAATCATAATATCACTAGTTCACTCATTTAGGAGAGTCAAATTCAAACTCTACCACCATCACCAACTACTAAATGTCAGCACCAACCATCTATATCAACGTCGTAACCATCATTTCTTTCAAACAAAAATCTGTATTATTTCCCGCTTTCTAGATGATCGGCTTCCAACCCCTATATTACTTCAAAACTTGCACGAAACAAAATACAAGGAAATAATATACTCAACAATCCAAGATGGGGATGAGCACATTTTGTTGGAGAACTTATTATTTTCCGCTTTCTAGATGATCTAGAGTAACCTGTAAAATATTGAAAATGGTAATCTTGCATTTTTTACGGCAGTTACCCCAAGATGTTGCGAAGCCAATGCAATCAATCACACCATAAAATTGTTGATCAAGGATATCACAACATTTAAGAACCCACCCCCTGACTGACTTAACAGGGCTACATCTAATGAGAGTATGATCCATTGTGTCATTAAGCTCACCACAAAGTGCACATAAAGGAGATTAGATGTTTATGAACAAGGGTTTTAGCCATATGGATTATTCCTAACATAGCCATCCAAACAAAGCATCACACCTTTAATGGGATTCTTTTTTATAAGAGATCGTAGGCCTAGTGTATGAGCAGATCTTGGAATTTATAAACTTTCACACGATGTCAACTGAAAATCGTTGATCGGTGACTACGTTAAAACGAAAACCAGTGTGGGATGGCACCAAATTGAAGGAGCCGAGTAAAGACTCCAAGACATTTAATTTAGAAAATGGATTCAGAGCTCCCGAGGGAGCTTTTCCACTTCCATAAGCAACATGCATTTGTGAAACTTTCAACTAGGAGAGGAAATCGATCTTGCAACTTGTTAAGTCCTAGCCACGCATCATTATAAAATAAAATATCGTCATCAGTACCTGAAACAAAAAAAAAAATTACATTTGGACTAATATTTAGGTAGTCAAGGCTTTTCATTGCTTTGGAGATATCACACCACACTTTGGGAAGCGTTTTCTTGGCAATGTAGTCGACGGTTTCTCTTTAAGATTATGAATGTTGTAAACCACAACCCCATATTGCGAGTTCTTTTCCGATCTAAAATGCCACCACCATTTAGTTAGCAAAGCGAGATTTTAGGCTTTAAGGGAGCCAACTTGAAAACCACCGTCTCTCTTAGAAGCAATGACTTTTTCTCAAGCGACCAAATGGATTTTGGATTTATCTGTCCCACCTCGCGACAAAAATTTCCTTCTTAATTTCTCAAGATTCTCAATAGAGATTTTCGGGGTATAAATGATGCATTTTTTTCTTGAAACTTTTATGACTCTTTACTTTACCACTAAAACCTCAAAATAGTTTTTAATTAATGATAATTAATTGATTCTTTGAAATTTATATTAATTATAATGATTTTTTCTTGAACCTTATACATTTGAAATTTCACGACTCTTCATTTTACTACTACAATTCAAAAGACTTTTTAACAATTAATGATTAATTGATTTATTACTATAATTATTATATTGGTTAATTTTTAAATACAAAAATTAAATTTAACTATCAAAATAATAGAAAAAACTATTATTTATAATAATATATATATTTTTTTTCAAAAAATAAAAGAAGTATCTTAATTATTTAAAAATAATAAAATTTTAAATACAATATTAAATATCGAAACTAAATCGAGATGTCAAATTCACATGTAATCTAAATTGAAAAATATCAATCTAAAAGGATTAGTTATTAATAGTTACATATTGCTATAAATAAAAGAAAATTATTATTATTATTATTTTTTTTCATTAACTTTCTGGTAATGACTATTAATATGATTCTAATACATATCAATTTGAACATATAGTAGTATTTAAGATAATTAGAATGTGCAATAACAAATTATTGTAAAATTATCAACTCTAAATTAATAAAAATGATATAATTATTTTTTAATCCAATATACATATCAATAATTTAATTATATTACTGTATTATATATAATATATTTGTCATAATTTTAATTAATAAACTTTTATTTATGCGCACCGTACATAAATTTGCCTATTTTTAATTAATACTCTTTATTTATTTATTTATTTTTGGAGTTTTAACAATGACTATACTTGTATTTGTAGTGTATGTCATATGGTTTGATATAATACTTGTTTCACCCGAAATTTATATATGTTGATCATATCGATCATATAAGTTAAAGCAATTTGTTTGACATTGATCAAGACATAACAACTAATAAATAAAGTTATAAGTAATTGATTGTCTGATTACTTATGAGTGGTCGAGCCAGAAAAAATGTCTAGGGGTGATACATTTTTTTTTTCAACGTAAAACCTAAAGATGATCCTCTTAAACTCAAGGATAAGACCAGAACAATTCTGGTTTTTGGATTTTGTATTGTTAAGCTATGCTGTGAATAAATAATGATATTTATATGGATAAAAATGTTTCCAGTATAAATATTATTTATCTTTTTAGACTAAATGCACTAAGAAATTTACAGAAATTCACATTACCTTACTAAAGATAATCTTTAATATTAGTGCAAACTTAAGTTTCTTTTATTGGTCTATTAATAAAAATATATACTCTCACATTACCTTAAAAGATAATTGGTAATATTAGTGCAAACTTAAGTTTTTTTTTTTATTGGTCTATAAAATATGGTCCAGATATTAATCAGAGACTAACAACTTATTAAAAAACAAAACTATACATGGATTACATGTTAAAACTATAAAATTAAAAAAAAAATCAATTAATACAGGTTAAAACGGTTTTAAGGGTTGGAAATAAAAAGATAAAAAAACGAAAACGAAAAATAAGGATAATAAATAACTTAAGACAAATAATGATTTCAAAATTATGATTTAATAGCTATTATGAATTATCATCTCCACAGAGGGCACATGTATGTTTAAAAGAGAGAGTGTTGTACATCAAAAGACAAAAAAACAATGAGTGTCACAACTTTACTTGCAATTTTCTTTCGAAAAGTTTTACAATCCACCAGTGTTACTCATACTTTTTTATTCAAGTAACTATTAACACAAAAAACTCTTCTGTGAAGACCGAGTTAGATTCGATCATTGCTAGGGTCTTGTGTTGTGCTATTAATGTATTTTCGAATTCACGTGAATTGAGTGTTTTGTATATGCCCCACAACTTTGTTCATTATATTATAATATAATAAATAAGTTTGGATGTCAGAATACCACTGAAAATGTATACTAGTCACTCAGGTTTTCAGAAATTTAAATAGCTTATTTACAAATTTGACTTTGGATTTTATTGTATTTGAATAAATTTGAATGGAAATAGTTCAATGCTGGTGCTACTAAAGATTTCATTAATGGTAGCTACTGTATTTGAATGGTAGTCGGTAGATGGAGGTTTGACCAATTGAATTGTTGAAAGATTGCCATGCTTTCTTGTATTGATGAACATAAAATAATAATAATAAAAAAAAAAACGAATTTAAATCGTTGGTTTGTAGTTAAGACTATTGATACTGGTTGGTTTTCAAGACACATTTTTCTATTGATCAACTTTTTTTTTTTTTTTTTTTTTTTTTTTTTTTTTTTTTTGGCAATCCTAAGGCTAGACCACGATCAAAAGAAAATGATGTATTGATGTTATATAGTATATACATACATATGTATGTATGTAAGATGAAAACTTTGAAAAGTTGGGAAACGATAAAAATCAAAATTATTTTTGCTATGTTTCATCCTAACTTATCTTTAAAAACGAAAGAGAATAGTATTGCCAATTTTGGCAATACTTTGTTACACATGAATTTTTTTTATTAATATAACTAGAGCAATAGAATCATAAAATAGGTATATGTTATTTTTGGCGGACTAATTAAAGAGATATTTGATAGCTAATAAAAAACCACATTTGATAAAAATAAATGATAGACTAGCTGGAAATGTAAAAGGTGCATAAAAAATCATGCAAGGAATAAGTTTTTTATTTTATTTTATTTTTATAATTAATAAATAATATATTTAGAAGAA